TATATATATATATATATATATAGAGAGAGAGAGAGAGAGAGAGAGAGAGTGAGAGAGAGAGAGAGAAATAAACATGCCAAAAATATGGACTTTTTTTTTATTAAAAAATTGTATATTTCTGTTGGGTTAAATAAATTAAGAGGCAAAAATTGGATTTAAAGATGTCTTCCATAGCACTTATTTCTTTAGTTTAAAGAAATGAAGGTTCAAATTTGGTTTTACTTAAGACCTGTCATTAAAGCCTAATTAATTGTAGTTTAAGATAATCATGCAAAGAAAATCTGTAACCACCAGGAAAAGGAACAAAAAAAAAAAAAAAAAGAAGAAGAATCTGCTCCCAACCATGATATAAGCTGCTTCTTGGATTAGGTGGCCAACCGTCAATTACATACCACTGTACCCGCCATAATTCAAAACCATATATATATCGTGTATATATATGTATATATATGAGCATCACATAGATATTTGTCAAATTACATCTTTGTCACTTTTTTTTCTTATAGTTTATCATCTTATCCAAATTTGAGTCTAAGTGAAATTAACTTGAAGTTTAATTTAATACTACTAAAATATATTTTTGCTTTTCTCCTAATTCTGTGTTAGAAAGAAAAGAGATTTGCAGTTGAAGCAGCAGTTGCTATCTCAGCTTTGCTTATTTTTGAGACAAAATCCAGAGGGAAGTTAGGCCAACGGTTAGCTTCCTTGCATATTTTTCTATATTCAATTCACTTGAGATCAAAGCAAACCCTCTCTGCAAGTTGATTCTTGGTCACCATCTCAGAACCAACTTCACCTTCCTCTCATACTCTTCATACCCTTTACTTATTTTTCGTCCGTCAAACCAGCTTTTTCATTTTCAGGTCTTTCTACAAATACCCTTCTGAGATTTCCAACTCTGGCATCATAAAAGAGAGGATTTTGATTGGGTTTCTCTGGTGGGATTTTGGAGATTTTGGCGAAGTTTGATTTTAGGCGATTCAGTTCATGGTTTAGGATGGAAATATGAGAGAAGAGTTGATTTTGTTCTTAGTTATGGTTGCGGAGATTCGGTTGCTAAACTCAATCTTGGCCTCCCTGTTTTCCTTGCCTGACAGGTATTTGAATTTTTACCTCTATGGACTCTAACAAGACATGAAGCAATTCTCATGTCTTTTGGTATATGTGACATGGAAAGGTTGTGACTTTTGATTTACTGAATGCAATACTTGTGATCAAATAGTTTCATATGCTTTGATTTCAAGAACTAGTAAAAAGACTACCTTAGGGAAAAATCTATATTTGGAAGTTTTTATGGTAGCCTAAAGGTTCAAGTTGGTATATACATATGCAGCTGGCAAAAGGTGTTTTAGTCTAGTACCACTAAAATTCAATTAGTTCAATTCGGATGAATTCCCAGTACAGCTTTCGACCAGAATCATCGATATTGGGTACTTCAGAAGCTTCAATGTTGTTTTCATCAAATTCTGTGATGAGAAATAGGTCTACTCAAACTCCTCCTCCTCCTCCTCCATCTTCGTTCTTGGTTCGAACAGCCATGAGGGTTTCCAGAACCAGGTGTTTCGCCTTCTTGAGGAGGGTTTTCCATTACCAGAATGGATCAAGATCTGATCTTGGGTCCAATCCTTTCAATTCCAGCGCTTGGATGTTGTTGGAATTTATTGCTTTGATTGTTCAAATCAGCATCACAAGTTTCACCATGGCCATGTCAAAGCGGGAGAAGCCTGTTTGGCCCATGAGAATATGGATTGTTGGTTATGACATTGGATGTTTCCTCAGTCTGCTGCTGCTTTATGGGCGCTACCGCCAAATTTATGTCATTGAAGCAGATGGGTTCAGCCTTCCTGACATGGAACAACAAAGAGGCACCGAAGAATCCAGGTACACACGTTATTCAATCATGTCTCAGTTTTCCAATTCAACTATTTTACTTAACATGATACTATAGTCTTAATATTCGGGTCTGGTTCACGCGTTCAGCGCAAGAGGGAACATATTATAAGCTTCTAGGAGGGAGGGTTTAACAATCAATAGTTGATATTGAAAAGTAAGCATATATATATTGATTGATTTTGAAGCATGTACAGGATCTCACACTTGATGAACAAATGTCGGACTTCGCTGGAGCTATTCTTTGCAATTTGGTTCGTAATGGGTAATGTTTGGGTGTTTGATTCACGGTTTGGTTCTTTCCATAGAGCTCCAAAGCTTCATATCCTCTGCATCTCTCTGCTAGCTTGGAATGCTCTCTGCTACTCCTTTCCGTTTCTCCTGTTTCTGCTACTATGTTGTTGTGTACCACTAATCAGCACCCTCCTCGGTTACAACATGAACATGGGCTCCTACGATAGAGGCGCATCTGATGATCAAATTTCCAAATTACCCAGCTGGAGATACAAACAAGTTGATGACAATTCCTGTTCTGACCCTGCAAGTGAAGATCCAGTAAGTTCAATCATACCTTCCTACTTGCTTTATCAATTATAAACTTAACTAATTTGATCCAAGTGCGCTTCGTTCTGATTAATCTTTCCGGTAAATTACAGTTTCACCTATTATGTTTTGGTCATATTGCAATTCATATGCTGAAATTTTATCAAGAGTACCAATCAGTTCTGTATTATGTGGTGGTGGGTTTGACAGGAGTGTTGTATTTGCCTAAACAAATACCGAGACAAGGAAGAGGTGAGGCAGTTGCCATGTTCCCACATGTTTCACCTCAAGTGTGTGGATCAGTGGCTCAGAATTATCTCTTGCTGCCCTCTTTGTAAACAAGACCTGAACAAGTAGGGACTAAAAGCCAACCAAGTCTTCAATTGGGTTTTCTCTGCAACCGCGGCTTCTAGGTTTTCTAATCCATATCTCCCTGCCAAGAGTACGTAGATCAACTGACACTATCTCCATTCTTGGAGTTTTCATATCAGAGATTCGATCTCGACATGTTAGAAGCTCCTCGAACCAACAAAATGAAAAGAATATTTACTTCTACACTGTATGGTTTGCTTGAATATACTTTACATGGCTACGCGAGTAAGATCATCATTTGTACATAAGAGTTCATCGGTAACCAAAAACATATATAAAAAAAATATATATAAATGTATAATTAGAAAATAATAAGTTTATATTTTATAAGATATACTGTATACGAATTTTATATGGTACTTTAAAAGTATCATATACTTATATTTTTTTAAAACGTTTAAAGATTACTACAGAAACACAATGCGTTCAAAATATTATAAATTTTGTTATTGGATATCTCGATACTTGCATTTAATTTTTTATAATGTTAGTATTAAGTGAGATATATGATATTATGTACATATTCGATTTGTTATTCGATAAATAATAAATAATACAGCTTGATCTTTGATCGAAATGTTAGATAAATGTAATTTTCTTTCTTGATAATTTGGTCTTCAAGTTTCTTACTTTTTGCTTGGAATTCCACCTATACATACAACCAACATAAGAAGACAAAAGCAGGTTTTGACATTAAACTTCAATCTTGACTATATGACTCAATGTGTCAACAATGGGAAATTCCAATCTTAGGGTTTCAATTACATGTCAATGTCTATTCTTCCAATTGAAGAAAAAAAAAAGAATATATAAACAATGTTTAAAGTATAATGAACTATTTTCTGATTTGATTTTATTACAATTTGAAGTGATTGTTTTATTTTTTTAAAACTATCTTGGTATAATTTTTTTTTAGAAGATACTTACATGTCTGTATTTTTTATATACAAATTTATATATGTTTAAGTCTAAAAAAAATAAAATTAAAAAAAGAAAACCTAAAAAATTATAGAATTATATCTATACATTTGTACATAAAATTTATAGCTTAATAATTTAAAA